TAACTACTCAAAACCCACTGCTGTTGCACTAAGAAATTAGCTTGGTATAAAAATCCAAGTAAGGTTACCATTCACACTGTCTTGTACCATATACAGAATCCTGCAGTATAATAATTAACTGTGCATATCTCTTCACATAAATGCTCATGAAGTAAATGCTAATTATTTTGGGTTATCATGTCAGATATCAGAACACAATGTAATGAGGTTAAACCACTTGAGCCTTCAACTTTTAAGGACACCAGAGAAGATTTTGAGGAGGTATAAAAGTTTGTCTATAAGCTAATTAAAGTAAATTCTTGTATAGCTGTTGATTTAAAACATGAATGACAGTATTTTAGAAAAATTCCTTCTAGCATGGTGCTGTTTTGAATATGAGTATCAGATTTCCTGAATTCTTGGCTTGAACAAGAGGTGTTAGCAGTGCTTAAGACTGATGAAAGAAAAGAGCATGGGATTTTTTAAATTAAATGGTACCGTCAAAGCTTTATGGTGCCAGTAATACTAATGATCCTGGAAGAGAAACCTGAAAGTCTACAGCTATGATTCTTCAGACATTTACTAACAGTTTTGAATATGTTTGCAACTGAAGAGACAGCCTTCCTTGCCATACTTTTTGTCACTGAAACTCTGTCCTCATGGCAGAAAAACGTTCCCTCTTTGAGCCACAGCCTCAGAAAGTCCATCTAGTATTTCATGGCAGTTTACTCTAGAAATGAGTATTTAATCTAGAATTCAGTATTATCTGAGCAGTATACTGTACACCTGTATTCTGACTATGTCTTCCATTCCTGAGACATAGGTACTGTATTGTGTAAATCAGTTTAAAAATAGATAATAATAAAAAAATCAAATCAGGAATAATAGACAGTGTTTTCCTTTATGAATTTATATCTGTAATTTAAAGAAGGAAAATCTGAACTGCTGTATAGTTGAGGACTTGAGATTCACAAAAAGCCAATTAAATACACCAGTTTTGGCTTATACTTCTGCTCCTTACTTTCTCCATTGCATTCTCTTTGTTCTTTGTTTCATTTATTCTTTATTGTGATGTTTAAGTGTTCTTTATGCGTGTATTGTATATGGTCAGAACTTAATAAGAATAAAATTAACACCTATTTAATTTATCTCCTTAGGCTTATCTCCTCAGAGCTAAGTCAAAGGCAAGAATTTTTTTAATGTTCAAGAGATTTTATAATTCACATGATATTCTGCTATTTTTCATTTCTACTTCATTGCATAATCCAGCTGAGTGGACTGTGGCCCTATTCATTTTTCTATCACCAATACAGATTTCATTTTTCATGTTCATTTGCCAGTATCCTTGATTCTTATACGATTTATCAGAACCCAGAGACAGGCAACTAGTTTGTTGAAGGAGAAAGAACCTGTTTTAGGGCAAGAAGACAAATCAGGTGTCGTTACTTAACCATCTTTGTGTGGAAGATCTGTTCACACTGCTATTAAAAAAAACACTGCTCTCAAAAAAAAGAAAAAAAGAAAATCAACTACTGGATCCTCCAAAAATAACGATAAATTATTATTTTGAGGTTACATTTATGACCTACTTTTTGTAGGTCATAAAAATGAAAAAATCTTCTCTATATTATTCTACATTATTACATTAAAAATATAAATCACTAGAATATGTAGCTTGGAATTCCAGTTTTTTTACTTTTCTCAGCTGTGCTTCAGTGCCTTCATACAGAGTGGGTGTCTTACAAGAAAGCAAGCAGGAAATAATTTGGTACCTGATGTGAGCTCTTGCTTTCAATAGTATATTGTTTATTAAAAAGGCATGAATGGTAGCTAAGCACTTGAGGCTCAATTAAAGCTCATGAAATTGAGCATTCTGAGGACAGAAAAACTCCCTTCCCCCACTTGTAATTAGAATTAAATATGGGGATCTGAGAACAACAGCAACGGGAGGAAGAGGAGGTTAGAGTACTAGTTGACTTAATTTCAGAAGCTTGAAGAAATAGTGAATAAATTAGGCTGTTAAATTTAATTTTGTTGCAAGTTGTCAGGTGCTCAGCACAGGTAATTAATGTGGTGACTTTTAATAAACTAGAATTAAAGTAACAGCTCTTCCTAAATCAGTGGGGAAGATGTGTACCACTATCTCTTGATGCAGACAGCTTGACACACTGTGGCTCACTGTGAGTGATGAGCCACAAGGTTTTTGTGATGATGCAGCATGTGCAGCAAGGTGAGGGGAGGTGGTGGTCCCTTGGCAAGGGAGGAGAGCGAGAAAGAGAGATTTGGAGTAGTCAATGACCTGGTGAGAAAAAAAAACCCTTCTAATAAAGAACTTGTTAAAATCATGGCTCCCTGGCTATAGCTACTCAATGCCCCATTTAATAACAGCCTTTGGTGAAAATTAATTTTTGTTCCAATTTGGAAATAGACTTCCTAGATTAGCACTTTCACAGACAGCACAGCACTGTTTGTTTATTTGTTTATCAAAGGGTAAGAATACTGAGGTACATAAAAGCCAGATTTCCAGGGGGAGTGTTGGTCAGTGATGCTGACCACATGCATACCTGGCAGAGGGGAATTTCATTTGCCAGGACTCCTTCTCTGGCTGGTAAAGGAGGGAGGCTGAATTCACTTCAAGCACTGCATGTACGTGATTCTGTCATTACAATCCCACAGCAGTTGTTAGGTGTTGTTTTGAGGCTGATTTGCAGCTTTCTGTTGGTGTGTGGTGCAAATATACGGTTGTATCAGTCATACAGATTTACCATCAGTGTTTATTAAAGACCCCGTCTGCCATTCAGAAGAGTTAGGTATAATCAACTGTCGTGTATTCCAGCCAGAGCACAGATCGCTTCTGATAAAACTTGCTTCTGTCTTCTCATTTTGTAATCAACATGATCATTAACATTTCCATCACAGTTCTTTCTTCCACAACAGCCGTGTCCACATTTGGCTCAGATTATCACCATCTATCTTTCTTTCAATACAAGGGAAAACTATGAACTAAATCCTACAGTCTATACTCAGTCAGCCATAAAAGTTATCAGTGTTTTCACCAAAAAGCTCAGGATTTGTTTGTACTTGCATTATTTATAAGGAAAAGAGTATATTCACTTTTTTTTTTTTCAGGGTAATTCTCTGTTTTACCTATGCAGTTTTTCCTCTAAAAGATTCTGTACTATTCCTCAGAAGAAATTTTATTGTAGAATTCTTCTTCCAACAGAACATGCTAGCTTTTACAAAAACATTGATAGGAAAGTAAATTAAAGTTGTATAGCAGGAGTTCGTAACATGAGCCAACTAGTAAAAGAAAGGACATGTCCTTATTTTCTATTATATTTATTGGGCATTCCAATTCCAAGCTTTCATTTTAAGTAAGTATTTATTTTTCAAATACAGGGAGTATTTCTATCAGTCAGGCTTTAACAGGATAGATTTTATAAATCCACATACTTTAGGGACATCTAAACATAAGAAATAATGGCAAAATCTAGGATGGGATGACTAGTGCATTTTCAGGATCTGATTTTTTTTCCAGTTTACATTCTTTGCTTTTTGAAAATGAACAATAGATCTCTTGCATATAATTATATAGAACGCCTTTTTTCCAGATTTAAAATGACAATTTGAGCCAGGGTTAGAAAGCAAGGTGTTTGTCACATCTGTAAACTCACAGCAGGAGTTCATTAAGTTTTGACTCTTCAAGTGCATAACTTGTTGAAAGTTCAAAGGTTGATATCAGTTATCAGCTCTGTATTTGAGATAACCATCGGAGTGAGCTAACACAATTGATTTTGGGGAAGAATCTGAGAACATTAACACAGTAGGAAATTCAAAACAAGAAGTCTGAAAGTATTTAAATAATGTGAACTAAAAAACATGTGGTATCATGTACATCTTATCCTTCTCAAATTTTTGTAGCCACCAGCCTGGATTCAACAATATTTGCAACCATATATATATATAATTAGGAACTTGCATATTTTCTCCCTAAATAGTTTGCTGAACTGGGATTTTAGTAAAAAAAGTTTACTAGCTTTTTATTAAAAGGCTGTAAGACAGCTATCAGGGGTGTATGTTGCATAAAGAATCATAAAAATAATATCTACATTTTTCAACTATGATCATGCAGTTAATACTGGATGTGTGAAATGGGGTTTTTGGTTTTGGGGTTTTTTTAACCTCGGTATAATTTTGACACTTCAAATTGTGATAAGGATAAATTGTGATAAAGATATTCTCAATATTACTTGTGTGGTTCTGGGTACAATATACATGGCGTTTTATAGCCTGCAATTGGCATTTTAAGCAACACAGTAGAGGGTAGATCACCATTTATGCCAAGAAGGTCATTTATATAAGCTACAATGTCAAGTTTAATTAAGGGCTGCAGTGACAAAAGAAAGCCGATTGCATGTGCTCAAAATACTTTTTAGATGACAAATGACTGACACCCATAATAACAATATCCAGGGTAATTGTTAAGGTTATAATACTTAAACCTGACTAAAAAGATCTCAGGCAGTATATTCCAATAGGTTAACATTCTATAAGATTTAAATAAAATTGAAATAAATCAAACTTAATTTATTGCCTAAAATTCAGGATCTTTCTGCATGGAGGAAAAAAAAAATAACTGGCAATTAGTAACATGTGTATCTCCACATGTTCTTTATTCAGCTCAGGTTTTATAAGCAGTACCTTTGTAACTTGCTTACCACAGTGGCTTTATGATGACCCCTGGTTAAGGTAAATGTGTAGAGAAAAATCTGGTGGCATGATTTTTTTTTTGTTTTCTTTGTCCCTGCTCAGCACATTCAGTATTTGGGAAAACAGTCAAACCCTGTTCTGCCTAATCCACATCAACATCTCTCTTTCTTTCTCTTCGCGGCAACCACATCACAAAGGTGGAGTTGGTTAAGGTTGAAGGTCAAGATGATAGAATATGACAACTCTCTGAACTGAAAAGAGAAATGAGTGTCCCTAAGTATTCAGCATGAGCTTCTTTTTGCTCCCTGCAGGGCATCTGCACCACAACCACCGCATTTTTACACTTCTTCTTCTTAGCTTCATTCTGTTGGGTTTTGACAGAAGCGTGGCAGTCATATATGGCTGTTACTGGAAAAATTAGAACACGGCTCATAAGGAAACGTTTCCTGTGCCTTGGATGGGGTAAGTCTGTAAAATTCATTTCTTCAGAATCATTGAAATGAAACTTTTAATACAGTGACAATGTCAGGAATATCATAATTTTCCTCAGTAATCCTGGAAGATAGTAGGCAGCATGTTAATAAAAAGAAAACTAGGTTAGGACCCTTTCTACTTAAGATCAAGCTATGCTGGTGTATATTTTAGCATTCTTTTGTAAATATTTTTTTAACACAATTTTAAGATATTTTCAGTAAAGCAGTGTAATATCAAGAAATCAAAACAAAACAAAACAAAGCATTCACTGAATATTTATGAAGCCTCCTCCTAGTTCACTTTAAGACCTGTCAAATGTACCAGTAATTTAACTACATCAAAGTAGTACACCGTGGGCAGAAAACGGTGTCCTCCTCCCTGCCAGTGCTTCAGAAAAACAAATCCTGCAATAGCACTGTGCTTCATTAAATGATTCATTCCATGTAAAATTGGCCATTTTGCATTAGCTTGCCCTGTCATTTTTCATCCAGGCAGAACAGCAATATTTTGCTCAGCATCTAATGGTTATTACTATTTGGTTTTTTTTCAGGTTTACCAGCATTAGTGGTTGCAATATCAATAGGCTTTACCAAGACAAAAGGATATGGAACAGCCCACTAGTAAGTCAATCTGGAATGATAAATTGTTTTTTTAATTAACAAGCCTGTTACACCCATCAGGAATTACATAGCATAGTCTAAAGGCCCTACAAGTATCCATTCACACTTGGAACTGCCCTAGGAGTCACTGAGTGGTTCACGAAAGAACAAAGAGAAAACCATATGCCAAGCTTGGACTGAGATCAGCAAAGCACCAGGGATCCTGGAATTCTTGTGAGGGTTTGAAATAGTGGAAACTAGAAGTAGACAGTAGTAGAAACTGAAATAGAAACACTATTAGATTCAGTTAGACTCTCAGCATTTATATACATTTACTAAAGAGTAACTTAAATGTTCTGACCAGCTTTTGCTAACCTCTAAACATGTCTAAAACTGTACTGTCAAGAGTTTCTTTGGCACCCAGGATTCTGCCCACCTAGCATGTACTTCAGTTTTAATGCCCCTGAGCCTGCTTGGAGCCAAAGCCCCTAGGAAATCTCAAAATAGCTCTCCCATCCATCCCCTATCTCCTGGGGAGCCTGATCCAGCCCATTTCCTGGACTGAGCTGTACTTGAGAGACAGTGAGGAAGAGATCTGTGTACTTCGTTTACATCTTATTAATACAGTTCCTATTTAGCCACCTGGCTGGTTACAGTGTGTATTTAGCATCCTGGAGAATTCACTCCTCAGTGACGCTGCCCTTCGGTTGTCTCCTAAAACCCCTGCCAGCAGACCACTCCAACCACCGAGACGTTATGTATGCAAGAGTGCGTTTCCTTTGCTCGTCCTGTTTGGAGCTCTCCTCACGTTGCCTAAGAAATTAAGTATGCATCTGGACAGCAAGAGAGGAAATATGACTGTGTAGCCTGGTAATGAGGGCATTCATCAGCGATGAGGATGAGTTAGGTCAAGTCCTCACTTCAATGAATATTTAATTATTCTCCTTTGCATCGTCACTGAGTGAGATCAGGATTCCCGCTCCCTCTCCTGTGTGTCCCAACCTCTTGGCACATGGCGAGTGGGCTTCAGGCCCTCGCTCCAACTCTGGGTGGGTAAAGATTCAGAAACAAACCTCCTGAATAGCAGCTCAAAGCACTGAGCTCCTTAGTTTTAAAATGTGACAATGTGTGTCTTTTTAGCGAGGAATGACTTACCTAAGAAGTGAAGTGCTTAAGTTATAGTTAAGTATCAGAACTTAGAGTTGGCAACCACTAGTGAAACAACTGGCTTAGATGTCTTTTGGGAGTTATATTGAGGGCTTGCTCCTCTGACGTTTTTTCTCACTAATATGTGCTCACCTTGCTGGCTTTTTTTATTATTTAGTCCTTGAACCAGGACTGGAAAACCATTTAGGCTATGAAAAAGTCACAAGATTAATGCTATTAACAAGATCACAAATCACAAGATTACAGTGTCCACACCCCACCGGGGATGTAGCTCTGTCCCTTGCAGAATCAATCCCACTGCATTTACTCTACTGAAATTATTTATGTGTGCCTACTTGTTTTAGTTAGTGTTGCTTCCTACTTCCTGGGCTGAATGCATTTTTAAAAGAGGAGGTACTGAAATATTCAGACAAAGCAACAAATCATTCATTAAGGGTAACCTGGAAAATAAAAAAGGGCAGGTCTCTCTATGTGTAACAACTCCTCTCCCAGGATCCAAAATCAGCTGACACGGCACCGTGGGACAAAAGCATGAGAGGAGGTGCATAAAGGACAAACAGAACCATAATGCAACTTTCTCATCTTATTTGCAAATACATTTTCTTGGCATTTGACATCAGAATCATATAAGGAAAACAGGGAATGCAAGGAATGGATTCCTCCCCTATCACCAGCTCCTGTGGTGTCCCACTCTAGAAAACAGCAAAGAATTGTGTCCTGTAACAACTGTGGAGCTGTGTGAAAGCAGAGTTCCTGTCCAGCTCCTCATCCCACAACTAAAGCACTTGTCTAAGTTTTTTAGCTGCTTACACTATATTTGGCCTGTTTGGCTGCAATCAGTTACACACACGCTGCCATCAGAAATGCGTCCTGTTGGAAACTATTCCTGGTCTGTAAAATGCTATTTTTGCAAATGACATTTCCAAATGGAGAAAATTAAGAGTGAAAGTGAAAGAATTGATTCCAGTCCCATAGTCCCACACATGAAGAGATTGATGGAAAGGGAGAAGGCCCAAGGATCTTTGAAGCAGATCTCAGTTCATACAGTATATGAATGATGGGGGTGGCTTGAATTGTTCTCACTTGAACCAATTCTGTGATCAGCAGTCTCTGATTTCTATCTTTCTCCTTCAGCCCTAATTATTACACAGTTATATTACTGTACATTTGAAACGACATATGAAAACTATTTTACACAGACACTTGTATTGATAGACACAGAAGCTGAAGGGATTTCCTAAAAATAATAAAAAACCAGAGTGACAAGATTTTAAATATTTCAGGATATCCAAAAAATATTGGTGTGGCTAAAAGCTTGACTGTTTTTTCCAACTCTTTCTGTGAGCCTAATAAATATTATTGCTACCTCTCTTCAGATGATCACAGCTATGAAAACACCACTACTACACTCTACAGTTGATAAACCCATGTGACCTACTAATGTTTACATACAGTGCTTTATATTAATGAGCAGTGCAGATAACTTCCAGGAATTTGTTGTATCAGCAAAAGTTAAAATTCTGTTATATTCCTGTTCTCCTCAAGAAGGAACCATTATCCTGGAAAGTGTCAAATAACTCACAGAATGTTCAAGACACAGGAGCAAGTCTACAGATGCTTCATCACTCAGCAGCATTTTATGACCATGTAACATGGTCCCATAAAACCACCAGTGAATGCTCTTAATACTAATCAATTTATATAACTTTCTGCTATCTGAGGATCAGGGAGAAAGAAGACAGAACAGGAGAACAAAATAAAACCCACTATAGCACATAGAAAAAAGCTATCAGGGCAAAGAAGAAAAGAAGAAGGTAAAAACCAGTAAAAAAATGACAACAATTGCCTTATGCTATAGGAAGGCACCTAAGAACCTGTCTTCAGAAAATCTTCAACAGAAAGCAATGGGGAAAAAGTGCATTTCAGAGTCATCAGGTGACAGATACTAAATACATTGCAATAATTGTGTCACACAATGAAAATCCAGATAGTTGAAAATTCATATTGTGTAAAAAAAGGAAGACATCCTCTATATTTTTTTCCCAGTTCTGCCTCTTAATGGAAGTCAGTCTTTCGTACAGCCTATTTACTTGAGGGTGTGGGAAAGGGAGGGAACAATTCTCCCATGGTCTTAAAGATTTATGTGGTAGAAACTGTTTTCTTTTTATTTAAAAAAAAAAAAAACCACAAAAAACAAACAACTTTTGGACCATTTTTTCTGCAAAGGAAACTGAAATTATGTTTCACATACAATACGTCAACAATTTTTATGAACTGATATTTCTGTCTCCCAATAAACATGAATATTTTAATTATTTGTCTAAGTTATGCAGAGTGGTCATCTTCACTATGTTTAAAAATTGATACTGGTAGGGAAACGCACTGCGAATACCTTCCTCCTCAGAAGCCCATGTTCTCAGTCTTTCACAATATATAACCTAACCTTTGGAAAAAGAGCAAGAAAAATTGCTGAAAATTCTGACACTAAAAAAATAAATTTAACATTACTGTTGTAGTTGTTTTTTGAGGTAGAATGTGGAATAGCCTAACATGTATTTGTTTTAACAATGGGGCAGATATGAGCTATTTGCATCAATTTATCATTCCAGAATTTAGCATGCTGATGCAGTTGGGTTCATGTGGCAGATTTCACATGGCTTCATTGCACTGGGGAGCACTTTTACTCTTTGCAGTTAGAATTCCAGCCGTAACAGACCATTAATATTATGATGCGCTTGCATTTAATTTACTTGGCTTTCAAAAGTACAAAAACAGTACTGGAATGTAAGGAAGATATGTATGATTCTGATGTGAATGTTTCTGTGTGTGATATCCAAGTAAATTATTTGAATGCTTATACTTGAGTTTTCCTATATGTAGGTGTTACCATGCATTCAAACAAACATGCAGTTCTTTGAATGTGCAATCACTGGGAAAATAGCACAGCTGCAGTTACTTCAGTATGTGAAGCTCCTGATCTTTTGCAGATATGGAAAGCTTTACATCATGGTGTACCAAATATTTAGAATTTGATTCTGTAAGCGCTCTGTGTTTGGAAATCTGATGGTTTTTAGTGAAAGCCCTGATGCAATATGACAAATTCTGCAAGATTAGTAGCTCACCAGAAAATACAGTTTTCAGATGCTTTAAAATATACATTTAAGTTGTTTGCAAAATATTTCATAGAACACAGAACATTTAGATCATATATGAATTTTCTTTAATAGGAATATTTTCTGTAAGACCTAGTCCTAATAGCAATTACTAATCATATCATGTGTAAGAGAAGTTAGATAGAAACCTGTTTTTACTTAAGTTCTCTGTTATGGGCATTTGACCTTTCATTGTTTTAAGTACAGAACTGTCAGACAGTGTAAGCTGGAAATGTTTCTAGGTACTTGTCTGGAAATTTCTGTTCATCATACATGGTTAGAGGAGATTCGGTAGAGATTTACAAACTTATTTTTATTGTCCTTACAGTTCATTTTAAGCTTTTAGGTATAAATATAATTCACATTAAAACTTTTGAAACATTAATAGTTGGTATTGGAAATAACTTTCAGCTGTATATCAACAAAATAGTTATTTTTTTGTGTGTGCATATGAATCTCTACATGTAGGACTGAATATAAACAAGAAAAGTCTCATGCTGTAGTAATTATTAATGCTTTCTTGGCAATGCGTTATACTTATTTTTAATTTGTGTTAGTTCTTCTCTAATGTTCTTTCCAGCTGTTGGCTGTCTCTTGAAGGAGGGCTACTTTATGCTTTCGTTGGACCTGCAGCTGCTGTTGTCTTGGTAAACATTAATATAATTTCCAATATTTTTATATGAAATGATGGAATATTTAATATATAAAGGTTTAGCTATACAGTAGTATTAGATTTTGCTGTAAATACTGAGCTCAGTATTGTTTAACATACCCTCAATATTTTGAATGCAGGAATCATTTAATTGTATCATATCTTTATACCAGTTATCTCTCCATGTTTACACAGTAAGCTGTGAAAGAATAATGTACCGATTGGTGGCACAGAAAACGTGTTACAGGCATCACTGAGTTATTATCAGTAGCATCTACGCAATTGTCACAGCCTTGTGAAGTTCAGTGACAGTCTTGATAAAGTGCTGCTTGGCAGTGTGTTGCTGTGCCAGCAAAAGCAACAGGAGGAGTGGAACCAGCCAGCAAGTTCTCCATGCCTACTGCTTTCGAAGGCAAAGGAAAAAGTGATCATAGCTGGGAAATGTTATTCTTTTGTGTATTAGTTGTGTGTCTTGCCTATCTCTGGAAATGTATTCAGGTGTATGATTCATTTTGCCTAATCGTAGACATGCAATGTAGATTTCTGCATCTAAGCTAGTTATCCCAGCTTTCATTGTCAGTGGAGAAAAATAGGCTCTTTTAGGGCTCAAACCATCAGAAGTACTTCAGGTGTCTACTTCAGGGTAAGATGAATTGCACTCTACATGTGTCATCAGTTCTTAGTCATCTGCTCTGCAGTCTGTATGGATTTTGTACAACAATTGGTTTAGCATTTTTCCCTTACAGATTTCTAATCTAATTCTTCTTTCTACTCTACCAATTTTATACTAGGATCGCTCTATCAACCCTGGTTATTTCTGATTTTCCCTTGCAAAAGGGAATCGGTCTTAGCAGTCATCAACTATATAGCCATTTAGCTACATAGATTTTCCTGAAATGGATGTTTACTACTCCCATAGAGTTTGTCTCATCATTGCCTGGAGTCAAGCCAGGATCCTTTTGTACAACTCGCAGTCCCTGTCATGATAGAGGAGCCAAGGATGTTTACAAAAAGCCAGTCATAATTTTCACATGGAACTGTATGTTCTCTGTATAATTGGCAAGCTTTGTTCAGAGACGTTTGAAGTTCACAGTTGCAGTTTGCCCTACCATTAGCTAGTAGCTGTGGAAGGAGCTGTTCCATGCAGCCACTTAAGCCTAAGTGTACGAAGCAAAAGAATTATATAACATCAGCTGAAAATGTAAATGCTGAAAATAAAGTGATAATAAGAAAAGCTGGAAAGAGTTGGCAGGACAGACTGGAAACAATTGGGTATTTTGGCACAGGTCTTGAAAAATCTGTTTGAAAGGAAAAAAAAGGATTACCCTTTTCTAATTAAAAAAAAAAAAAAGGAACGTTTATTTAATAGATTCAAAACTTGGTATTACCGCTTTGCAGGCCATGCAGAGACAGGTTCATAGAGTTCAGTTCAATAATACAAATGGATTATAAGAGTCATTAAGTTGCCCATTAAATGCCATTAGTATGTCCATTGAGTGCCAAAGTCTGACTGCTGAAACACTTGAATTTTTTTTTAGGTTAGGTCTTCAACGCATGTGTGTGATCATAACACTTTATTTTAATGGAACTAAACACACTTACCCCATCCATCTGGCCTACAAAAAAAAAAAAAAAAAAAAGGAAACTGCAGTCAAACAAGGCTCAAGACTGGCATTTTGGTGAATGACATAGGCAATGACTAATGTGCAGGAGGATATGGACAACCACAGGCTGGTTCTGCATAAGTGGGAACACCCACATGGGCCATAAATGCCTAAAAAGGAACATGGTTACGGTCATCATGTGCTCTGACTAGCTCTTCCCTGTACGCACAACTCAAATGCAGTGTTTTTCCTGGAATGGGATATATATATCATTGCAATTGAAAGTGAGGAAATACTAAGCTGTATTACTCAAGCTTCGGGCCAGCAGAGGTGTATGCATATAAATTGATGCCAGGTGTAATTCAAGATTCAAAACTGAGCCTGTTGCAGTGTGTATGTGTGTCACCCATTTGAGAATACTCACTTTTGGTGTGCTTAGGGACAGTGTTACACTATTTCTGATGGAATACTCAGAAATGTGTTACACTATTTCTGATGGAATACTCAGAAATGTAACAGAAGGCATTTTGCAGGCCTATAAGGGCCTTTTTCTGAAGTGACAGGATAAAATATTTTCTTTGAGGCACTGAAAGATCAACTGTTTGTTTTCTGTTTGACAGGTCAACATGGTGATTGGCATTTTGGTATTTAATAAACTTGTTTCCAGAGATGGAATCCTAGATAAAAAGCTCAAACACAGAGCGGGGTAAGCAACAATTGGGTTATTTTAAAGAATATTAAAATTTCATCACCAATTTTCAGTTGCAGATATTCACCAAAAATGCTTTTGACTGTGCTTTGAACTTTTATATCAGTGTAACAGTGTGTCTAACAGATTCCATTCATCTCAAAAGCTGATGTTGCATTATCCTGAGAGAATGCAACTAAACAAACTAAACATAATAAAACACAAGTACAACAGTATTAAGTTAGTAATAATGAGGATTAAACAAATCTGAGGGGCGTTTTCACAAGAATGTCACACATGTAAAGTTGTTGCAGTTAGGAAAACAGTTTAATGAACTGTGTGTACTGAAGTAACCTATTATTTTTTGTCTAGCTGTCAACTTTAATTACTATGGTGGGAAATGTTATTCATTTATGTAAACTGTTATAAAATATATTTTATCCCTTACTGAGGTCAATGCTATTTTGCTGTTCTGACTGTGTGAAGAATTTGCCTTTGCTTTTACATCCATATCTACATAAATATATATTCTAAATTAATGCGAGTTTCAAAGTGGAAAATAACTGGTTTAAAATAAAAAAAAAAAGAAAAAAGGTAAATGGAAATTATATGTTGATCATTATTATTGATTATTCACTTGCATTTACATTCAAATTCTGTTTGTTATCATGAGAAGTAAGGATTATGACAGTGGTGGTAGCAGAAACTTTTTCAGTGGACGACAATGATTTGAAGTACTGCAGCAGCAAATCTAGATTAATTCCATACTGGAGAAAAATATTTCACAAGTGCATCATCACCTTCTTAATGCTTGTAGGAAAGAATATTTAAACTTTGCATAGTCGTTTTTTACTGCTACATGTTCTAGCGTTGCTTTTTGGGCCAGGTTATAGTTAACACCACCAATATCTGCATTTCTAGCAATGGTATCTTTATTTAATGTGTATTACTGCTGTGAGTAAATTTATTGCAGCTTCACTTCAATTTTTTTTTACCTTTTCACTAACAGTGGCATTCCTAATAAGTTAAGTTCATTGGTTAGATGAGCAAATTTATGATAGATACTTCAGCTGGTGTGATTTGCATGTAATAATTCAATTAAATCTTTCTTGTTTTTAACTCTTTTGACATTATTCTGACAAATATGTACCAAAAGCTTTCATTTTGTTTCTTGTCTATTCTTCTCTTGTCATTAGAAAGTATTAATTTCTTAACCTTATCTTTGTCTACATTGCTCCATCAACATTAACTGTGTAGTATCACTGATGACAACTAGAATATTATAAAACTACCGAAATTATTTCAAGAGTGATAATAACTGAGGATAACCATTCAAATTCAAATCTTCTCTAATTCCAGTGATTTAAGGAGCTGGAGCAGCCACGGGTTTGACTTTGTATGTTTTGTAAGGATATCCAAGCTTAGAGTCAACGGCATCTTTTTTTGTTTGTTTTCAGCTGCTCAGTTGTCAGATATAGAAATCTATTTGCTTATAGTATACTTTCTTGATAAAACAAAGTAACTTGCTTTCTAACAGTGCACAATTTTGTAAAAAGGTATTTTGTTTTTAAGTAAATGGATAAGGAACTAGCAATTGTTCTGTCAGAAACAATCCAGCTATTCTGGGGAAGCATGCAGATGCCCTAATCAAGAAACAACTTCTGAGATGGTGGCTTGGCAATGGCATTCCTTGATACTACTTAGCAGATGAAGAGTTTTGAGTCATTCTTGGAGGCATAGAAATTGGTGCAGCATTTGATGTCCAGTAGAAGGTGGATTGTCACTCCTTTCTCAAATATCTCTTGCAGCCATGCCCAGGAAGGCAATTTTGTTCTTTCTGGCAAACATTGGACTTAGAGCTGTCAAAAGTTCAGCTGTAGAAATCATTTATGTAGGATTTAAAACAGTGAATGGGGAAAAATATACTAACACCATACATTTTGGGTTTTTTTGTCTACCTTAAACAGCATATGGACAATAAACAAATGTCTTGATAGATACCAGTCATTTTCCTGGCATAAGGGGTAGCACACATGTATACCCAGACAGCAAGATTATATTCAGACTATATACACAATCAGTTGTATTATTTGCAAGATCCAGAACAAATCTATAGAGTTAAAGAGAATAATCCAGTCTGGTAACATTGAAGAATTGCCAAGCAAAGATGGAAATTATTTTCCCCAGATTAGGTTAAGCTTACCTAAGGCATACTTCTAGTTCATTCATTAACATAGATCTTTAATTGATGTAAACTGATGTGAATTCACAGAGTTCTTTTCACACCCCACTATCACCTTTTCAAGGTCATGATTCTCGCTTCTTTTTTTAATGAAAAAAAATTGATTTTTATGGAAAATATGCTGTACTTTTTTTTATGGAAAGTCATTACTTGGTTCATCAAAATGGAAACGACTGGAGTTCAGTTTTGTTTTGGGCAGTATGTTAAAAATCTTTTGAATGCTGTGTTTGGCAATAAAAAGGAGTTCTGTTGGTTGAAATAACTGGGAAAAAAAATGAAGTGTTACCTATCTTCACCATGTTGACCACTTTCCAGCTGGGAGTAGGTAAAGCACCCTTCCTGTCACATCTCAGCTATGGTTATTCTGGGTTCTGATAGCAGAAAGAGAAGGAATAGCAAATGTTTTATGTAGTCAACTCAGGAAGTTGAATGCATGCTGTATGTAAAAGAAAATTTGAATTCCAAGTTTTGCCCTTTAACTCTTCTGACAGGTGCTGAGGTACAATTGTCCATACAAAATGCTTTGAGCTTAATGCTTGTGTACTGTGTTTTATTAAAATGCAAAACAGGTCACCCTTTTTTTAGTACCAACTGATATTTATTTCATCAGACTCCATACATTCCAAGCCCTGTATTCAGACCTTCATATCACACGAATAAAATCATTCCAGATGTTAGTGGGCCATTCAGATCACTAGAGAAAATCTGACTATACTGTACTCCTGTACTGATTTGATGCCTGAATACATTTTGGAGGTTTCTTTCCCCATTAATGCTCTGTAATTGTACATAATTCATACTCCTCCTTCAAGTGTCCTATACTCTTTCTCAAGAAAGTTTGGATACAACAGTCTTTTAACAGGTCTGAATAGAGGGATTTCACTTTGTGTGTCTACCCTAGCACGTGCTTATGTTTACTTCAGTCTACTGAGCAGTTTTGATCACTAGAGATTTGGGGCCTTTTTTAGCTTAAATGGAAGAACTAGAGTCTGCATGAAATGATGCCCCATAGCATTAACATTTAAAGCTAACAATAATGTAAATTACAAAGTACGGTTTTGCAACAACATAGAGCATTCATCCTGAATAAGTCTACTTACTTTTTCTGCATGACGTCATATTTAAAAGCTAAATTTCAGTAGCAACGTTTTTTGGTGACAATTCAATATTTTGTTCTTTTTGTGGGTGTTCTGTTTGTTTGCAGTCAGATGAGTGAGCCTCATAGCGGTTTGACGCTCAAATGTGCCAAGTGTGGAGTAGTTTCAACAACAGCTTTGTCAGCCACCACCGCCAGTAATGCCATGTTAGTCCTGATCATTTACATCTTCTTGTTACAAATCTTATACAGTGCATGTGAGACAATAGTTTGATGATGACAACTGTGTTTGCTAACACCGTATAGAGTGCTGAGCACCTTTAAATTCTTTTTAACAAAAAAAAAAAGCAACTGTGTTTATTAACTGAATACAGGATATTCTTTAGAACATAAAGTGCCAAGACTGTTACATTCTTGTCTGTGATTTTCAAGTTAACTCCATAAAGTGCCATCCTTAAATATATTTTAATAATGAGCTTTTAGTCATTTTTATTATAATATTACAATGCTGCTTTTCTCTTTTTTTCTATAGGGCATCCCTTTGGAGTTCCTGTGTGGTGTTACCACTTCTGGCCCTGACTTGGATGTCTGCAGTTCTGGCCATGACAGACAAAAGATCAATATTATTTCAGATACTTTTTGCAGTATTTGATTCATTACAAGGCTTTGTTATTGTCATGGTCCATTGTATTCTCCGAAGGGAGGTGAGGAATGGCTTCCCAGTTTTCTAAAGGGCTGTGCTCCTGTTAATCTCTCAACTCCTCTTTAATGTTATATACAGCTTGCTCAGTGGAAATACATTTTATAGAAGGATAGAAGTATTTAATGATGAGATGTAGAGGAAAAAGTGAAAGAGAGAGGGGGAAGATCAGTTAATTCCAGGTGCAGAATGTCAGTTTCAGTATAAAACTGTACCCACTTAATTAAAGGTAGCTTTTAATAATTTCTAAGTTCAGTTTATTTTAAGTGTTAAGCTTTTCCAATATTGTCAGTATAGGGAAATGCTACCATGAACGCCCTTTTCCTGAAGACCAAAAGCTATATCTTTTTACAGTCTCTAAAACTAATGCAAACACAAAATTATTTCTGCTTATACTGTCCCTGAAAGAGAACACAAGGAGAGGAGGTATTATGTTGGTGATGATCTACCCTTTCAGTTCTGCGAAGTCAGGTACATACTTAAGGTAACATACTTAGGTTATGAGGACACTGAGGATAAAGACGGATGAATTCCTTCATAGCACCAAGGGAAAGCTAGTACCTCGGCCTGCCCCTCACAGCTCAGTGCCACCCACCGCAGAATTCATCACCAATGAAATCTGATGTCAAAGCTACAACACAAGTACTCTAACCTGGCTCTGGTCACAGCTTCTCTAATGTGTCTAACCTAACTAACCCTACATTCTTATTGAGATAAATTTGAGAGTAGTAACACAACAGCTTTGCTGGCAGATCTGTGGTAAGTGGGGCCATCTATCAAAAGCAAGCAGGTAGAGCAGTAATCAGGCCCACCAGCATACCTGTGTATTAGCCATTTATCAACCTCAGGGTATTTACCACACTAATAAACCAAATTACATTGTCTAGCATGGTTCCTTGTGATCAACAACAGTTGCTCATAAGCACTTTAGGACTAAAAAACCCATGAAGATATTTCAGGAAAGGTTTATTGTCAATGCTGAGTGGGCAGTCTCACATGTTGGTTTCCCTTCCTACAATTCACACTCTTTAAACGTTGAAACTCACTATATTGATGAGAAGAAATTATGAAAGACATAATTTATTTCAATCGTTCAGTAGTGTACCATTTTGCATTAACTTTATATCACTATCCTACACATTATGCGTAGATGATTATCTTATGAAAGAATTAAGTTTTCAGTTTTTAAGGAAAAAGCTTATCAATATCTTGCAGAAAATAGGAACTTCCTTTGTGCTAACTCCATCCCACTTTATTCAAGCTGTTGTATGAACTTTTGGGTTTCTTAGTTTATTGACTTTCATAGCGGAAAGGGCTTACCTCCTTTAATACCTTTTTTTCTTTTTCTTATTTTCTTTTTTGTTGTTGTTGTTCAGGATAAAAATCTCTGCAGAATAAGAGCTAATACTCAAGACAAATCTATTTAAAGTAGAACTGTGTTGCTACCCCCTTGTTGTCTACAACATTTTCTTCCCCATATGATTACATCTGTGAAATATGCTATTCTCATCTGTAGAACTAAAAGCCATAATTTCACATATTCTTTTAGTGAAATGGTAAGACACTGCAACTACTTTTACTTAAGTTCTTCAGTAGAAAGAATGGCAGTTCCATACTGGTTTTCCTGTCTATGAGTTTATATTACCATTGGGATATATTAATCAGCCTGGAAAGGGTATACCCTCTCCCAGTTACTGTCCTGAGGAACCATTTTTGTTTGAAATTATATATCTTTAGCTCAAAGTTGCCAGTGAAACCTTCTAAAAACAAGCATTATCGTTCACAGAATCATATAATATCTCGAGTTGGAAAAGGACCCATAAGGATCCAGTCCAACTTCCTGCTCCTCACAAGATTAACTAAACATAAACCATGTGACTATGAATATTGTCCAGACACTCCTTGAACTCTGGCAGGCTTGGTGCCCTGACCACTTCCCTGGGGAGACTGTTACAGTGACCGACCACCCTCTCAATGAAGAACATTTCCCTAATGTCCAATATGAACTTCCCCTGATGCAGCTTCATTCGATTTCTTCTTGTCCTAATTCCATTTACTTGTGTCCTTTGTGAGGAGGCAGAGGGGTTGCAACACATACCTGACTACCAGTCATTGATTTTGTCAAAAAATAGAACAAAATCCATGAGAAATTCTAAAAGTATCATAATATAGCACTGTATCAAATGAAAAAAATGCAGACATCAAAGCCTGCCCCAGAGTACAGTAATGCAGGAGTTTATTTAGAAAAAAGAAAAAAGTATTTTGACTTCTTACGATGAAATTAAACAGGTATCTTCCCACAATGTCCCATGCCTTGAGTTCAAGACAGGTTCCCAACTTCTCATGACAGCTATTTGCTGCAAATGTATCATTCCCAGGGAGTGCTTCAATACTGCTGAACATCTCATGGAAATCTTCTTGTCTGACCCTACTCATCGGTAGGACAGTGGTGATAGAGGTGGAATTAGTCTTTTCTATGAGTAAACTCAGTTTTCAAATTTGTAGGGTACCTTGACTTGAACCACTTTTAACTCACTAGTGCAAGCAATATGCAAAAATACCTGTTTATAAAGATGTTTATACAGGAATTTAGAATATTAGTTGTTTGTGTTTAGGCAATCATCTAGTTGTGGTTTATTTTATGTGTTACTCTTTTATCAAATCACATATACATATCACATCCAGCTGCAAATAGTCATTATTTCCTTTAACTACTGAAAGTTTAAGTTGTTCCTGCAAGGCGGTCTTGGCAGTTATACCTCCTGGTCCCAACACTAAAATTCTAGCAGAAAGGCATTTTATAAAACAGCTAATCAATCTATCTACCTGGTATTTTAAAGTGTGACCTCATGAGAAGGTTTCCCAATGAGGCCCATAAAGCATCTAGGTTTGATAAGGTCAAAAAGTGGAAGGAGTTTTTTTTCAGTCTTGACAATTTAGGCAGAAGTGAATGTACAGAAACAACTTATTCACTAATCAGTAGGTTAACTCCAGTCAAGATGATGATAGTGGTGGTGGTGGAAGACAAGCCTAGACATATTGCTGTTTGAACTCTATTTGACAGAACACATTGAATCTTCTCCAGTCCTCCAGATTTAAATTTTAAAATGGGCAAAATAACTGATGAACTAAGGCATTTTTTTTTCTATATGGGAAAAGAAAATTAATAGAAAATTCTTCAAGAACAGTAAAGAAGTAAAATATGATGCACTTGGAACAATTTTTATTTAAAAATGTGTATGGTCTGCACTTAATATGGACCAGTTTGCAGCATCAAAGACATAATTGTTTACCGCAACAAGTTCCTACACAGAACAAGAAATAACTTCAGTAAGTTATGTTTCATTCTGACTCAAGAGAGTCTGGCTTTCTAGCTCAGAGACCCTTAGGTGCGTACAAGCTAAGATACTGACTGTCACAGACAGTGTGCTATGCAGTCTTTACTCGGCACAGGGTGCATCCCAGCTGTAAGAATAGTCTGCTACTTCCTGTTGTCTGCAAAAGCATTTTGCTCTGCCAGTGCCTGTCAGGGAAACTCTGCCAACATATTTGTCACTCTTGATGACAGCTACAAAGCTATCTCAGTTATAGCCTATAGGATTGATCTAATATTTATAGCATGCCAGCACAGGCAAAACAATAATTCTGACTGTCGGGAAAAAAAATATGGGGTGGAATGTATCACTATAAAATTCAAACAAAGAAGACGACAGCCCTCCCTTACTGTGTTTTTATTGTCATTCTATTAAAAAAAGACACAGTGTTTTACAATTACATATATAAACCCCCTGTTTTTCCTTTTAGTTATATTGATATAAATGATGGAAACAGTTTTCACTTTAATATGCTGTGTCGAAGATCTTGAGTGACAAGGGCTGCATTAGGAAACCAGGGACATTCTCTGAGTAAGACATTCAACTAGAAGAGAACTAAGTGATGTGTTGTGTCTATTTCTGCCCTCCATCAGTCCACGGTCTTTTGGAAAGGCATTCTATCTTTCTATGCTTCCATTTCCTAACTTCTAAGATAAATATAATACTTCTTAAGCATAAGACCTCTTACAGACTATTTGGAAATAAAGAATAATGCAAAGTAAGAGTTAGGTACTATTGCTTTATGTTGCTTTCTTAGCCTAGAGAGCCTAGGGTTGGGGTTTTGTTCTCCTCTTCTTGCTATTTAGGTACCTAATTGGGCATTGGAAAATGGTGAGGTATGTGTCACGGAAGAGAGAATGATAGGAGAGGCTAGTGCTTCGGCACTTCTCTGTCAGAGCAAAACGGTTTGCCTGACCTACTTGAAAACAAGATGCTCTAAAGCTAATTTGAATCACACTAACTCCTGACAATGCTGGTAATGGGAGGAACCCACGTGTATTTTCTTCTTTTGCTGTGCTCTGCTGACTAGAGAGCATTTGGTTTAAATGCATCGTTGGCGTCTTAAGCCCACATTTCTGTATTGCAGGAGAAAAATAAAGAGTACATGAGTAGAGAGAGGGTAAGTTATAAAAGCTTGGAATTGGTTACTGTTGCTAGGGAAACCACTTCCTTGGTATCCACACGTTCATCACATCTGTCTCTCCTGCTCTGCCTGGCTCTAAGAAAATCTTGTAACTTGATTAAAAGGCGGGGGGGAGGGGGGAACCAAGATCATGTTTCAAAGTAAAATGTAAAGACAGCACAGTCATTACATACTCAAACAACAAGTTTGAACAAGCAGTTTAGAAAAATAAGCTGGTATTTAGAATGTTCAACCTTTTTGTTTCTGACTTGTGTGAGGATGCCTAGAAGTGGCAACATATGTTGATATGATGGATACAGCTACGTTTGACATTCTGTTAACATGTTCAAATCATATGCTGCTTGCACTTCAGAAACATTTAAGCAACATGCACATTTAAGAGGATCCTAGCTTCAAGATTCACCATTTTAATATAGAAAGTAATGAAAGTAGGACATGAGATTCTTGAGATCTTTGGAGCTATCTGAACTGGGGAAGCTTCATGAATACAAAGTCTTAAAAATATGGTAGCCCACTTCACAGAGTGAGATCACATAGTTTGTTCTGCAGTAATAATGGTTTGGGGTCAAGCATCAGGAGGCTTGAGATGAGATTCAGCACAGCTGGGTATGCTTTGGAGGAAGGATTTTTTAATTTTTTTTTTTTTTTTTTTTTTTGTCAAATCGTTGTGCCAGTGCTTACTTACGAGCATGAAACTCTGAAGTGTGACCTGACTTCAGCTTTGATAAAGTGAGAGAAGACCTGAATTAAATTTGCAACCACTGGAAGATGCCAAAATAAATTAACATCAAACACATGGAAAACTACAGCAAGTGTAGTGCCTAAAATCAGAATCTGAGTCACAGTACAGGTCAAGAACACTTTACGTTACCCTACCACATGTGGGAAGTCTCAGTGTTCTAAAATCAATCCAAACCTTCCCACCTTGCTTCATTTGTCTTTCTGCTCGCTTTATATTAGTCTTCCTCAACCTGCAACAGTCACTTACCAAGACTGCACTCTTACTTATTTAAGGGTTGAACACTTCAAAATAAGGCTTTCTAATTGCAAAAATAGATATATTTTCCTGTTTCATTTTCTCTTTTGTGAAAGCTTTTAAACAGCTTGCAGTAGAATACGATGTATTGAAAGAGGATGGCTTTTCATCAGCAACAATTAATGAATTATCCTCTTCCGCTATTCACAAAATGTCCATGAGTAGAATACGATTTTCTCCCTTTTAATTATTCTTCATATATAATTATGAATAAGACATCAAGTAATTTCTACAGATGATAAGTAGTATGTAGATTTTTATAGGTATTTCATTGAGAGTACTTTCCTATTCAAACAAAAAATGATAGTAGTTTATTTTGATTGTAGGTCACCCAACTAAGTTCCTGTTTTCCAAGTCACATCTTGCACTTAGGTTGCTAATACAGACACTTGCATTTCTGGAACTAGAATTCACATTTTAAAACTTTCCATTCCAAAAGTTGCCTTGCTGTCCTTACTGTGGTACATGTGAGAAAGCAGCAAAATGTATTTGCATTCTACTGTCAGCAAACAGGAACTGCATTTGTCTTTTGCATGTGCCTTTCTGTTGAACTTCATCATTCTGACAAAAATGTTGCATAATACTACTTCTTTAGACATACATTCTGCCCAAAATCAAAGTAAAAATAACCTTTCCTATGAAAAGAAAAATCCTTAAGTACACTTGTGTTTTAGGGACAAGTTTTCAAATTTACTTTATGGATCATATTAGTAAACAGTAATTTCTGAGAAGTTCCTTTTTTTTGTTTACTTTCAACAAACCAGATTCTGTGCAAACGGTCCACTTGTCTTCTTGTGCCCACACTGAAGATATTTACCTGATCTGAAGAGTTTTATTGCTAGCAGAGATGCATGAGATTTCCTATACTTGGAGTTAGAGATTATGGTTGCAATCAGTAACATTTTACAAACTGACTTATTCTTTAAAGTATAATTAGGAGAGCACTATGTATCTGATTATAGTAACTGTTAAGAACTGTCTTTCAAGAATCTTACATTTATCAAGGAGAAGATACATTTTATTTTGCAATGGTTCATAGTATATCTATCTATCTAATTCTATGGTCTTAATGGTATAGACGGACAGACTTTGCAACAGCCACAAAATATTGCAAATGTATGAAGAGGCAGAAAAAAATACTTATGTTTACTGCTTCTGATTTATTAAGTATGCTAAAGAAAAGTCATACATTGTATTCCATACAGTTTACTTTAATCTTTCATAGGAGTAGAGTATATGATGTTGCACAAGAATCAGTATAAGATATTCTTTTCACAGGTTCAAGATGCATTCAGATGTCGACTGAGAAATTGCCAAGATCCAATCAATGCAGATTCTTCAAGTTCTTTTCCTAATGGACATGCTCAAATCATGGTTAGCTTTCATTTTCTTCTTTGAATATAAATTTAGTGGTCCTATCCGAAAGAAAAAACTAGTGTATTGTACGTGGCAAGTGTGCACAGCTGAAATATTAACACCGTTTTTGAGCCTAAGTCTAAGTCATTATCTCCTTGCTTAAATCTCTTAGTAAGTTTTAAATTATTGATGTGATCACTTATTGGAGCACAGTGAAATTGTATCTTCCACCAATGCTGTTCATGACCAAAGATTCTTAGATAAGAGAATGAGAAAGAAATCTAATAATATCCCATGACTTTTTCTACAGTTGGTGTAAAGAGCACTGATGAATTTAAGAGTCTTCCCTTCATGAGGCCTTGAATAATGTTCCTCACAAACTAAGTCAGACAAGAAGAAAGTGCTAGAGATTCCAAAAGGGGAATCTATTTGGTGTCTCAAATTAAGGAGACAGTGAATGTCTTGATATGTCAATTTGGATTTACTAATACTGTTAGGTAGTATTTTAAGACAAAACATTGGTCCCTTCACTTGCAATGACAGCTTGTCTTTGATTATAATGGGGACAGGATCAGGCCCTAAAAATAATGCAAGGCTCAGCAAGCAGATACCCTTCAAAAATGGCGAATCGAAAAACAATCCAATGTTTGGACTTCAGAAGCAAGAAGGATGGCATTTTTATTAACCATTTTTCATGTAATAAACTTTTTGTGGAAATCAGAACATAACTCAAAATAACTTGAATCCTATAACAGGATAAATAGCTTTGCTTAACTGGGAAACATGTGCTTGGATTTTCAGTTGTTAAAATTCATTATGAACTTTTACAATTCGTTTTTGCCCAGTGAAATTAATAATAGTTCTTTTCAAGGAGTACAAACTTTACATGATTGCATTATCAGGAAGGATGGACAGAATGTTATATAACAAATAAGCACTTCATAACAAATTAATGAAGTTTCAGACAGGGTGGACTAATTGGATTACACTTATTCACAGTAGTTTGTATTGCAAGGTATTTTCCATATTTCTGTTTATAAATTTACTATGAAAACCTTCCTTAAAGATGATCCTTCCATGAGATATAAAAGTTACTCTTCCATTAGAAAAAGACCTATACACTGTATCGTTTTATTAAAGCTATATATTCTACTTCCACTATTTATTTTATTTTTTCTGGTCAGGCAGCATACTTTGAAAACAACCCAGTTATACTTTAGGAAACTTTGTAAAGCTCTGCTGTTGTAAAACAATACACTTCACCTTCTCAGCAACAAGAAACCACTTTTAAGAGACTATGACTCTGTAAGTAGGACATTTTGGAAGTGCTAGTTGGCAAAAAGGTATTGTGGTTAAGTTTTCAAGAAATAATGGTTGTTCTCTTTCGTTGTTCCTTGTTACAGACTGATTTTGAAAAGGACGTGGACATTGCTTGTCGGTCAGGTAAGAACATTGAGAGTATTTAGCCAACAAAAAGGAGTCTTGTACTAGTTCCTTGTGAAGTGAAAACAAGAAAAATAACAGCATTCAATCACTTACAACACATGAACTTTGTCGGGGGCATCCCTAAGGAGGTGGACTTTGAATACAGTTATGAACAGACTTTACAAGAAAAACGTTTAAAGTCAGTTTCTTCCAATGAAAGAATTAAGAATAGGTCACTGGTTGAAGTGTCTTAGCAAGTGTGACTGGAAACAATGAAGTTGGGTATTTGTGCATTCTAGAGGCAAATTGTTCTTCTCGTAATGGAAAAATTAGAGTCATTTTTATGTGAGGTATAAGAGTAGGATACCTTATGTGCTGCTGCTATGGAACATGGCAGTGAGCTGACAGGTACTGGGGGATCTGGGTCATCAGAGCCCTCAGGCTACCAAAAGGGATGTAAATGCAACACCTGAGATACTTCAAGTTGTCTTACTGTCTCAGCCCATGAGCTGGATTTTATTGCACTAACTAGCACTGGTGTGAATAAAAATATTTTCAACTGGGACAAGAAAATCCTTGCACCCAGCTGGAATAATTGTAGTAATTGGTTACTTTTTTTTTTTTCTTGCTAACTATCCTTTTTTCTTTCATTACGAATGTTGAATTATAGACATATTTATTTTTTAAGTTCAGTAATTTCGATTGAATAGATGTTTTGCTTTTGAATGTATCCTTCAGTGCACTGGACATTTTGTGTTCTATGACAGGATTAATAACTTTTCCATGTGGATCCTACCCCAACAAAATATTGCTGGATGTTACTACAAGTTTGACCAGGAAGGCCTAGGCCTACACCAAAAGTGGATCCTGACTGTTTTATAAGACATGTTTATATTCTTTGTAACCTTTTCAGATTCAGAAAATCTGATATTTCTGATAGCAATGGAATTTCTTCTCAATGTTATTACTTCTTTTTCATTTCTATTTAAAAAATAATTTAACACAGAAAAGTTTTAAAAAGTCAGTGAAAAGGAACATTTAGGCGCTCAGGAACACATGTTTATAGTTATAATCTTATCGTAGGTCATTACAATGGATTGACAAAATGATTCTGCCTTACAGTCTGTTTGACATTTTCCAGGGAGATATGTGGAGTTAATAATGGCAGTACAGTTGCTGCAGTGTGTTTTTTTGGACCTTAGTCAAATTCCACATGGCAGGCTTTTGCTTAAGCTGTGGGTCAGCTAAGATCTATGTAAGGCAGAAGGAATAAATGAAGGAGTGCTTTTTATTTACATAAATGACTGAAGCTTAGTCAGAGATCTGTGTCAGTTATACATGGTAGCTTAAAAGATGCTGATTTAAAAAACAAATAATAATAAAAAAAGACCTAACCTTCCTAAAACAATGTTTATAGAATAAAAGTTATTAAAAAGTTATTAAAAGTTATTAAAAGTTATCACTATCCTGTAGTGACAGGACAAGGGGTAATGGGTATAAATTGAAATCAGGGAGGTTTAGATTAGATATCAGGAAGAAATTCTTCCCGGAGAGGGTGGTGAGGCACTGGAACAGGTTGCCCAGAGATGTTGTGGATACCCCATCCCTGGCTGTCTTCAAGGCCAGACTGGATGTGGCTTTGAGCAACCTGGTCTAGTGGAAGGTGTCCCTGCCCATGGCAGGGGAGTTGGAACTAGGTGATCTTTAAGGTCCCTTCCAACCCTAACCATTCTATGATTCTATGATTCTATGATTCTATGATTCTATAAATGGATAGAAAAAGAAGATGCATTGGTAAAGGGAGCAGTGCTAAATAAATCCATGAGAAAAAGTAGCGTTAGGCAGACATGGTTTCATGTTCTAAGAATTCTAATCTCTGACCCACAGTCCTGCATAAAGACATTGGACCTTGCAGAGCAGCTACTATAACAGGAACACTTTCTAGAATTTCGCTAAATGATGAAGAGGAGGAGAAGGGACCAAACCCTGAAGGAATGAGCTATTCTACATTGCCTGGAAACATCATCTCCAAAGTCATCATCCAGCAACCAACAGGTCTCCACATGCCTATGAGTATGAGTGAACTGGCCAATCAGTGCTTGAAAAAAGACAATAGTGAGTTGCGGAGGACTGTTTATTTATGCACTGATGATAATCTGAGAGGTGCAGATATGGATATAGTCCATCCTCAAGAACGGATGATAGAAAGCGACTATATAGTCATGCCTCGGGGCTCAGTAAATACCCAGCCATCACTGAAAGATGAGAGCAAAATGAATATAGGCATGGATACATTGCCTCATGAAAGGCTGTTGCGCTACAAAGTTAATCCAGAGTTCAATATGAATCCCTCTGTTATGGACCAATTTAATATCAATTTAGACCAGCATCTTCCCACCCAAGAACATATGCAGAGTTTACCATTTGAGCCTCGCACAGCAGTGAAGAATTTCATTGCATCGGAGCTGGATGACAATGCAGGATTATCAAGAAGTGAAACGGGATCCACAATATCAATGAGCTCTTTAGAGGTCAGTGGTGCATAAAATAATTGCATGCTCTGTGGTTCTAATTATATGATAAGACAATAAATTGTGTCTTCTGTTTAAGGGGTGAAGCTAATGTTTTAATTCAGTATAAATTATTGTTTGGGATCATACACTGTTGTTCATATTTCTCTTATTATCAGAAGTGTTTATATCTAGGAAAACAAGATTAAAGTTTCAGACCCAGTCTGTATGAAACTATTGTTCTAGAGATTTAACATTCCACATGATTGCAAAGGATTTCGTGACCTACCTGGTAACGTTGACTGGAAAATGCTCTGTTGATATGAGAAGAAAAACTGTTCCTGCAAGATACAAGTGATAATCATTGACCCTACCTGCAACAACAGGCAGTTGAAAATATTTGCCATTTTATTGCTGACAATCACAGCTGTCTCTGATACGATAGGTTCTGCTATCACTAGTGTAAATCTTGAATTCTTCCATCCTGTCTCAGAGCTGGCAATGAACTCACTCCTCCCCTGCCCCCGGTGGTATGGGGAAAAGAATCAAAAAAAAGATGAAACTCATGGGTTGAGATAAAGACAGTCTAATAGGACAGCAAAGGGAGAGGAAATAACAATATTAAGAATAAAAAAATAATATGCTAAACAAGAGTTGCACAGTACAGTTACTCACTACCCGCTGACTGATACCCAGCCAGTTTCTGAGCCATGGTGCCCCCAGCCAGCTGCCACCAGTTTATATATTGAGCACGAGGCCATATGGTACAGACTATCCCTTTGGCCAGCCTGAGTCAGCTGTCCTGGCTGTGCCTGCTTCTTCCTGGGAGTCCTTGACTAGAGTACGTACTACCTAGCAGCAACTAAAAATATCCGTGTGTTATCAACATTATCATATCCAATCCTAAACACATCACTGTAGCAACTACTAGGAAGAAAATCAACTCCCTCCCAGCTGAAACCAGGGCACATCCAATAGTTCACCAATAAGAACCTTGACAGGCTGGAGAGGTGGCTCTGTGCCCACCTCATGAAGTTCAACAAGGCCAGGTGCAAGGCTAGGTAATCCCAAGCACCAGTTCAGGCTGT